GAAAATTTTTTTTCTAAATAAGAAGTAACAAAATTACTTTAACTCACTGTCAAAGTCAAAAAAAAAAAAAAAAAGGCAGATCTTACAAACCATAATTAATTACACTGGCACAAAGTTAACAATGCCTGCATTGATGAGGAAGAGGTATTTTCACATGCAATTGGAAAAAAACTGGATAAAGCCTTTCCACAGGACAAGTTTTATCAATATTTAAAATATATGCTACATGATAATATTATAATGAAAGACATTTCCATCTGACAATTAAAAACATAAGAAAGAAACCATGTTTTGCGTTAACCAGGTTCACCCTGCCGTGCCATGTGGTCAAGCTGTACCTTTCTCAAGCCCATCTGCCTTGGCTTCAGTAAACTTCCCTCCTCCAATTCTCCTCGTCTCTCTGACCAGCCCTTGTAGGTAAGTACCTCTGCCATCCATTCTCATCTCTTTGAGAACTTTGTTTTTAGCTCTACTATTCTTCTTCCTCAGCTCTCAGGTTTTACCCCAAAATCACATGTGCAATTCCAGCCACCAGTCATGGAAGCTACTATGGTCTGGACATGTTCTGAGTGTCTCCCAAAGGTTTATGTGCTAGAAGCTTGGTCCCCAGTCTAACAGTTTCCAGGGGGTGGAGTGTTAAGAGGTGAGGCCTACTGGAAGGTGATTAGGTCATGGGACACCACCCTGGAAGGGATTAATGTAGTTCTCACAGGATCAGGCTGATTCTCACAAGAGTGGATTGTTCTGACGTAATGGCCCTCCATGTGATTGGCCTTTTCTGCACATGGCCATTTCTCTTTCCACTTTCCCACCATGTTTTGACATAGTCATGGAGGCCCTTGCTAGATGGCTGGCACCAGGTTGCACAGACTTTCCAGCAACAAGAACTGTAAGCCAAATGCCTCTTTTATTTACAAAGTACCCAGGCTCAGATGTTTTGTTACAGCAACGGTGTTATCAAGTCTTCTTATATTTCAGCAATATTATTTGGCTGATAAATTAACAGCAAGTTGAGAAACAGCTAGATATTATTTTTAAAAAATCCCCAAGGTACACAATATTTGCCACTCCTTACTGTTATTTTCTCTTCAGTCCTAGTCTCCACAATGTACAAACACTATGGAAAGGACTAGGAGAGAGCTCACTAGATACCAAGATGGCAATGTGAAGCTTGCAGATCAGGGTAAAGCATAAATTGCCTTCCTGAGAAAGAAACAGCTGACAAAACATAATACAGTTCTGAGAGCACATAAAAGATTGCACATGAATTGATAAGCCCCTTTCATCTTCGGCTAGGAACTAAAGGGGATGATTGGTCTAAGTTTTGGGCTACATAGAACAGCTTCCACTTAACCTGCAAAGATCCCTAAAAAGAGCTGACAAAGAGTAAATCATTTCCCTCCACTCACTATCATGGTTGGAGCAATCACTAGCTTTGATGCCTGACATTATCCTTACTGCTATTAGATAACATCCACTATCTTAGCAAGGTAAATCCTGACTGAATTACACTGCCCAAGATATATGAATGCCAAATTTTATGTTATACTATGTATTTTACAAAAACTTTTTTAAATGTTTTATCAAAAACAAAATATATAAAAACTGCTGGAAACACACAAAAATGGGCAGATTGTTAAGATAAAGAGAACTATTTTAAGACTTGTTTTGGACTGCTACATACAGACTGACGAAATTAAATGGCGAAAAGACATGGCTCCTGAAATAAGGAACAGTGTCCTCTGAGTGAAAGTCAGCATGGCCAAAGAAAATGGCAAGATGATTCTCCTCCGAAGATCAAACACCAGTTGATAGTCTCAGAAATTAGAAAAAATAATAAAAATAACTGTTACTTACTGAGCCTCTGTTTCTAATCAAGCACTGTACTGTGCTCAGTACTTGTAAATATGCTGCCATGCAACTCTCCCTAAAGAGGGTGTTGCTTCTGTTCCTTGCAGATATCAGGGCTCAGAGACACAACTCCATCACAATGTCAGCAAGAGATGAGATCAGGATCTGAGAGAGGTTCTGACTCCACAGCCCATAGCTTTTCTATTACAATGATGATTTCTAATCAGTTTTTACTGGACTTAGAAAGAGGACTGAGTAATCTCCCTTTCCCCAATTCATGGAGTATCTCTTCTGTGAATGCAATGAACAAAATCTTTCATCAATACATTACAGTTATATCCTTCAAGATTAACCTCAAAATTCACTTTCCTGAAGAACAGAAGGAAAGTGACCTTTGCAAACAGTATAGAACCATTTACTCTTCTAGGTAGTTTTCCAGGATTCATACTTGCCTTAGTGAATACACTGATAAAATCTACCAAAGAACATATATACATATTTATGTTACTTTCTCTTCCTTACATGGTGCCTTGACACCATGAAACCTGTACTGAAAAGTACAGGTTTACAGAATATCTACTGCACACAAGGAAACAGTCTAAGTACTATGCAAAATGCTAAAAGATTAGAATCTATACTTCTTGCCTCTAAACGCTTGTAATTTTAGTATCAGAAGCAAGACAAACTTGCAAAGGACACTGAAGAGAAAAGGTCTCACACACACACGCACACGCACACACACACACACAAACTAATATAATGTAAACTGAACATTTAACATGCTAAGGAAATGAAGTCTTTATTTGCCAAGTGAAACTCCTGAAAGAAGTGTGTGTTGATCACTGTTTAGACAGTCCATAAATGATTGTTAGAAACACCAAGACCTTCTTAGATAATCAATAGAAACTTATTCTTAGATTCATTTAAAAATACTATCAAAACTCTAAAAATTACCAAAGGCTTAGTTTATGAAATATGTAGCTGTTAATAGAGTGATAAGGTTTTTAAAAAATATTTCTCAGTAATGTGGGTATCAAAACTCCTTCCTTTTCTTATTACCACCATCTTGAATAACACCTTGGCTCAATTTTTTTCAGAGCAGGGAGCTGTTATACCAAGACAAAAGCTAGCATCATAAACGCAATCAAGGTCTAAACACATAAAAACTATATTACCAAAGTCAAGGCCAGACAGGAGAGACAAAAGAAGAGAAGGATAAATAATACCCATTAATACATAAAGGAAAGTATGTTTTCTAAAAGGCAGAGATCGTGACTACAGGCACATGGCTCCCTCCTAGTAACTGGGGCTGTGAGGTGGGTAGAGCACATAGACTGTCCTGGCTGGTATTATAGCCATGATGATTTGTTCTGGGATTCATATTCTTAGGATTTCAAATCAAATTCACTCCATATATCAGATGATTTGACTGTTATCCTGCTTATTTTTTAATCCGATAAGACCATAATAAGCCAAGTCAATGTAGACTTGATCTCCTCCTCCACGTTGGGTCCCCTCTTTCACTTTCCACAAATGCCTAGACAGCTCAGAGATATGGCATCTTCACTCAATTTCTTGTCCCTCTTATTTTAATCCATTCAAACATCTGTGATAAAAGAAATGCCAGACCTCAGTCACTTTAGTCCCTCTTTGGGGAAATAAAATTGATGTTTTTCATTTTCACACAAGAGGATAGAACAAATATTCTGAGGAACAATATTGTATCCAGTCTTACCCATTAAAAAAAAAAAAAAAGTAGGCAACATTCTTTGCAGTACTAGAGGCTGAAAGGTTTTGTGGAGTTCTCAGGCTGAAGAGTTCAGCCTTATGCCATTAGCCTGTAAGTGTAACAAGTATGACAGCGACTTCTGACCAGGAGATGAAGTGCTGTGGAACATCCTCTCAGTCACAGTGGAAGTCAGCTGGGGTTGCAGGGGAGTTGGGGAAGGGAATAGGGGAAGAACCAGCTCCACATTCTCTCTAGTTACTCCAGTCATATCCTTTCCCCTCTCTCCCTGTCACAGCTGATTAAATGAATCAAGGGTTTTCTGCCTCTGATCTTTTACTTGAATGTGAAGAATATCTGAGGGCTGGGGCTATAGCTCAGTGGCAGAGCATCTAGCTAGCATGTGTGAGGCACTGGGTTTGATCCTTATCACCCACATAAAAATAAAACAAATAAAGGCATTCTGTCCATATACAACTATAAAAAAAAATTTTAAAGAAATGTTTGAGAGCAATTTCATCATGAAAACAACAAAAGAGTAAAACTACAGAATTTCAGAGGCCTTTAAGCACTTTCTCCATTTCCAATTGAATTTTGTAAGTTTTGTAGAATTTCAGAAAGTTATTTTAAATAATGATTTAAACCTAAAGGGAGAATACAAAATATCAGAACAGTGGCTTTTTAAAAACAATCTTAGAGCTGGGGTTGTGGCTCAGTGGTAGAGCGCTTGCCTTGCATATGTGAGGCATTGGGTTTAATTCTCAGCACCACATATAAATAAATGAGCAAAATAAAGGCCCATCTACATCCAACATCTAAAAAGAATATTTTAAAAAACAATCTCACCTGAGGCAGCAGTACCTTAACAATAACAGAAGCTGAGGTGCTATGGTGGGAGGGAGGGTGTGGGTATGGAGTCCTGCAGCGAGTATCCCGGGCCCCAGACCCAATCCCACCTAAAACACCTGTTCTGTCAAACCCATCTAGCCACGGACATAGAGGACAGAACACATGCACCCGCTATCCAAAAACCTCCTACTGGCCCAAGCATTGCCAGAAAAGCCTCCAGAAGTCTCTCCTGGCTTCCGTGGGAAGAACATGCCCCTAACCGAGTCTGCTTTCCATGTACAGCAGGGAGTTTCAAAGGTATCTCCACTTCTCAAGTGTTCCCTGTCCCTTCTCATTCTTCACATTTTTGCACATAAATATGGTAAAAGGCATGTTGAATAGTTCTATATTGCATTCTAAATATTAAGGTGCATAATTTTCCATATTTTCCCTAAGTTTTTTCTCCCTTGGGTTGTATTTGGTAGTTGATACCCTGAAAAACTTCTTCCACAACACAGAAAAATGCAGTCTCCATCTCAAAGCTCAAATCTCCTTAAATAAAAATCAAAATCACTTATTAACCATGAGAACTAACCTGCAGACACGAGCTGGAAAATACAACTTTTGCCAAGACCGACATAGATATTGTGAATGATCTATCACTCTGATCCAATCAAGTTCATCCATTGACACTTCAATAAAGTAGGAATAAGACCTATGAATCAAAAGGGAAAAGACATTAAAACAACAATACTAAGCTATACTTAAATAAAATGTTAAAAAGTACCAAAAATATAGAATTAACTAATTATATTTTCTGTACAACAAATTTTTATAACAATGAAAATTACGTATATCCCTCTTTTGTATCATTCACCACAGTGTATTAGAACTCTCTCTCAGCTCGTCTGTCTGCCTCATCAAATCACAAACTGCTTAAGAACAAGGACCACAGCTCAGTAAATATCAAAAGCAAGCAAGACATTTGTTCCTTTTCAAATATGGCCAGGATGTCTTGGTCACACCATAATAGCAGATTAATAGAGCTGATAGGAAGAAGAGAGGGGAGGAAAAAGAAAACAGAGAAGCACTAAGTCCCTGGCCTAGTGCTTAGCCCTCCCCTCTTGGGGGAAAGCCAACTTGGAATGGTTCCCCACAGAGGCTAGTGTATATCCTGCCGCCTCTCTGTCTCCTACCATCCAGCACACACAAGCAGCCTGCAAAAAAATAAATGATATGGGTGAAGAGATAATGAGTGTTTCCTTTGGATACAACTTAAACCTAGCCAGCTAATAACCTGGCAGTAATGAAAATAGCCCATCATCCTCCCCAAGTCAGCTACCCTGCACCATTACACGCTGGTCCCATACTTGACAAATCTATATTCCTTGTCATAAAGCCAAATTTAAATTTGCGGTGCAGTTATTACTTGTACTGTAATATCAACAGGAACAATCTTGGAAGATTTAGATGACCATAAATGTCAGCCTGCAACCTACAGTTGTGACCAGAAAAGGTCAGCTTATTTTGTGTCATCCCCTCATTTTCTGCTGTACCTCACCTCCCATTCATTTTATCACTCAGTCTCAAACTGGTTATAACCTTTTATTGAACCTCTCTGGGTTATCAGTAATCCAGGATATAATTTTACAACATGTCAAAATCTTTTTGGCTTAAGATTTTGAATTTTTCACCTCTGCTTATAATGATAACAATTTTTGTGAGAAAAGAACAGTTCCATGGTAAAGTTAAGCCCCAGTGAATATAACACAGATATTAAAACAAAGTGGCCTATATTTAATATTATGAAAACAATGATAAGTACTCTGTGTTTCAAATACACAAACCATTTCTCTTATTAATTTGCACTTTTGTACTAATTTCATCATTAATTAGATGAGCAAATGTTCAAGCTTTTAGAACTATGCCTACCACATAAAAGTAATGAAAAGTTTCATATAAATATTATCATTATATTGTTATTATTAATCAGAGACTCTTGGAAATGAGATGTGAGCTAGCTCCACTTTTACAATTAAACATCAAATCATATCCACCAAGACACATGTCAAGATATATATTAATAAAAAGTAAACCAAAAGTGATAACCCAGGGACCTTGTCCATCCACACACCTGCGAAATCCCGGCTCATCTCAGAGAGATTCCCTCATACATGACTCAAATAGCCCAAGAGGTGAGGGCAGTGGCCGCGCAGGAGAAACGCACTATGCCCCATGAGGCTTTCAGGGCATCATCACCATTAATACTAAGCCCTTCATGACCAGGCCAAAAAGGCAAAAATAGGGCCCCGTTCCTGGGAGGGAGGGTTTAGGTCAATGATAAGTAGCAGCAAGACAATTCAGTTCTGGTACTTCTGCCATCATGGATGGACCCTAGAAGCCACTGTGGGTGAAAGTATCCCAGTGGCTGGAAGGCAGAATCCTGAAACCACTGAGGAACGTGGGTCCCAGGCTGGAGCACAACAAATTTTTTCACAAATTTCTTTTGTTTTGAGGAGGATATTTATCCACATATTAAAAGACAATTTCTTCATCCGTAGGATAAAATGCATGCAAAATGTTGTTATAATATCCAAAAGTAAGGAATTGAGTGAATAATGTTAAAAAGGTACAATATAAGACTACCATTGAAAGTAACATTTTAGAGGACTATCCTCAAAAGGGTAGAATGTTTAAAATGTATTAATTAAAAAGTGAAGTTAACTTTTGTAAATCCTATCTTTATCTTTATTTTGTAACACTATACATGCAGGTGTTATGAGTGTATGAGTGTGTGTGTGTGTGTGTGTGTCTAGGCATGATTTAAACACACTAGTTAAATACATGCAAAACTGAATAATGGGTGGAAAGATTACTAGCAATTTTTATTTTCTTCTGAGTACTTCTTGATATTTTCCACAATAAACATATATTCACTACTTTTTAAGTAGGAAAAAAAACCCATGTTTTTAAAGGAATATAACCATTAACTCCTCCCACAGAACTAGCTTCAAGATAAACATCAGAATGATGACTAAAATGAATCATTAAAATCTGTAAAACCAAAGTAGATGGCCACAAAGTTAGGTTACCTCCATCAAACATAAATATCCGTTTCTCTCTAATGACTCACCGGCTGTCCCGGTCCCACAGGAGTATCCGTATGTGATTGATGATGGACGGTTGGCCTAGCTTAATCTCAATGCCTGAACGGCAGTCATCATCAATTGGGTGCCTAGAAAATCCGTGATCCAAATCATAATTTTGAGTATCGCCATCTAATAAGGCAGACTTCAGCTCCCCTTTTACAACTTGGGCTCCATACTTCATAGTTGCAATGTTTTCTTCTGGAACTTCAATTAAAAATAGAAAAAGCAAGGTTAAAGGTTACTTATTAAATAATTCTATATTTTGGGGGGGAAAGACAAAATTCTAGGTTTTAAATGATTCTCTTATCTGCATTTAATTTTAAAATGGCATAGACAAGTCTATGAGGGTAGAAGATACGGAAGATCTGTAAGGATTAAGACAATATCCAAAGTTCTAATGAAATGTCACTATCACACCCACGATGTGCCTGGAACTAAATCTTTTTAAGAAAAAGTTAATAATATTAGAAAAGGCATGTACTGGGATAAACCAATCAGCTCTGCTGAATTCATTCTGTTAGTAGCTTTAATTTAAGATTTACAGGACAAAGATAGCACGTAGAATGACCTGTACTGCCATCTGGACTAAGAGCAACATACAAAAGCAAAGCAAACAGGTCAGACATCTGATAAGAGGAGAGAAAGAAGGGTTCCAATGTAGCATAGCTGAGAGACACACATGGACATGTTGGATCACTTCATCTAGCTAAAAACCAAGACTACGTCTAGAAGAAAATATATTTCACCTCACTTGAGAATTTTTTAAATGAAAATTCAGAGTCTGTCATCAAAATCAGTATTATGATTATTATTAATCCCTCTCTCCCTTCTCCAATATCAGATTTATTAAACATCTATTGTGCCTGGGACTTCAAAGTTTACTATGCAAATAATGTTCCACAGCTGTGGAACCTGTCTCCCAGATACTAACATTCTAAAACTGACACTCTCATAAAAAGAAAAGAGGCTGCACATTAAGAGGCTGAGGAGGCACAGTTTAGACATGGCTCCACCTTTAACCACGTATGTCACTTCAGGGAAGATACCCTTTCAAACTTCACTTTCTTAAGAGGATAATACTACCCTGTCTGTTTAAGGATTGAATGAGGTGATGCTTGTAAAGCAGATAGTATGCTCTCAAAAACTGTCATTACTATTATTAAACATATATATAAAAACACACAATAAGCCAACTATACAAGTTTATAGACTGTAAGTAAACACCAAATCCTCATGGCACGCATATGTCTTGGCTGTGTGATTTGAAGAAAGGTAAAGTGTGAGCTATAATCAAAGTGTTAGGGGAAAGATGGTAAGTAATTCACCACTGCACATTTCTTGGAAAATTGGTTTTTCAAAACATTTAGAATGGGGACCAGTAAAAAGAGTGGCTCCAGAAGAGGACAATAAATACAGCTGAAAAGTGGAGGGTGGAGAAGATCTAAGCAACTAGCCAGAGACTGAGGAGACTCAGCAACCACAACTGCAGTCACTCTCAGCTGCTTGCCATCAGAAGCTGAGTGGCACAGACTGATGACTTTCTAAGGTCTGTTAGCTTACAATAATCATGCACGTTCTTCCTGTTCATTTAACAAACCTCGTGTAATGCGTATACTAGGTGCTACACACTGTTCTAAGCACTTGACAAATACCAAATCCTTAGAAACAGTACTTCTAACACATCCATTTTGCAGATGAGAAATGGAGGCAGAGAAAAGTTAGATGCACTTGCTTGCCCAAGGTCATACAACCAGCAAGTAGCAAAGCTGAGGTCAGAATCCAGGCAGTGTGTCTGCAGGGCCCCACATTTAACACAGTGCTGTGCTGCCTCCCTGTGAGGTTTCTGATGGCATGGCCACACCTTTTCTCTTTCTAACCCCCACTTCCCTCCAAGGTTGCTTAAGACCCAGAGGAAAGAAACAATCTGATACAGATTTTTAAAAAAATAAAAATGGGAATTGGGATTTTTTTAAATATTTTTTTGTAGTTGTAGATGAAGTGCTGAGAATCAAACCCAGTGCCTCACACATGCTATGCAAGTGCTCTACCACTGAGCCATGATCCCAGCCCAAGAAGTGGAATTTTAAAATGAAAAAAAAAAAATCTAGATTTGAGATTCAGGCCCTATTATTCACTGTCCTTCAGTGAGGCTTCTTAGTCTCTCTAAATCTGTTTTCTTGGTTGAACCAGGATTACTTTACCACTGAGCTACATCCCCATCCTTTTTAATTTTTGAGATAGGGTCTCACTAAGTTGCTAAGGCTGGTCTTGGCTTCCACCATCACTGAGATTCTAGGTATTTGTCAACATACCCAGATAAATGTGTTTTCTTATCTAAAAATAATAAATAATGCTTTTTCTAACCCATCTCCTAGGGTCTCTGTAAAAACAAAATTATACTACAAGCAACATATGCTAAAGTACTGTGTAAGTACATAGGCTTCATTTCAGTCAAGAAGTTTATAAGGGGCTGGGGTTGTGGCTCAGTGGTAGAGCACCTACCTAGTATGTGTGAGGCACTGGGTTCAATCCTTAGCACCAAGTAAAAATAAATAAAGGTATTGTGTCCACCTACAACTAAAAAAAGTTTTAAAAAAAAGAAAAAAGAAAAAGATATTTATGAGAACTCATTTGATGCCAGGTACTGTAAAAGCAGCAATGGGAGTGACTTGGTGAATCAGACCAAGATGGGTCCTTCTGACCCCTCCAATCTAGAGATGAAGTACTTTATAAGCAAGCAAACAAGGCTTCAAATTTGTGCTTTTCAATATCATTAACCACTTGGTTAAAAAAAATTATATATATATCATTAACCACTTTGTCCCTCCTTGCTGGGAATAAAATGTGGAGGCACAAAATCTGTGGTTGCCGACCACTGGAACCATCTCCTCTAGTTCTGACACCACCAGGAGATAAATTTAAGCCAAAGAGGGGAACATCAAGCTTTCAGATTTAGAGACTGATGCCACCTTTGATTTTCTCTTAACATAAGGTTCTTCAGCAGTAAAATTTATCAAGCTAGGAATAATATACTAGGCACAAGAGTTTCAAATGACTGTAACTCAAAGTCTAAATAGAAATGAAATGTCTTTCACAAGTACAGTTCTTTTTTTGAAGTTCATTTCAAAAGTACTTGAGAACTTTTCTAGCCATTCTTGATAGATTCATTCTCTGACAGTATCTTTTGCTTCAAAATGGAGAACACTTATACAAGTGGAAATTCTCTCATGGTAACTAGACTGAGTATCTTTCTGGAAAAAATATAACTCCCAGTATTTTATGAAAAATCTACAGTTAAATAATGAATTCAGTAGGAAAAGTGATTATGAAAAAAATTCAAATCATAAAAAATCCAAACCATGAATTTTCTTAGTAACCTCTATTGGTAGAGAAAAGAGTTCTCAAAAAATACAAGCTGGTAGGGAACAAATAAGATAGTAGAGAGAAGTCATGATTTTCTTTATACTTGTAATTTTAATGAATTTTATAAATATTTAAAAAATTATTGAAACCCTATACTAGTAGAAACAAATCAATTGTTAGAAAGGAAAAATGGGGCAGGACCTGTCCCTAGCTACATAGTGCCAAAATCTGAGTGGTACTGGAGTAGTATCCTGTGTGTTTAATATCTTTTTGTTCTTCATCATCTTTTATTGGACTCTCTATTACATGTAGCTTCAAAATAGATTATATGGATCCAGACTTAGTTCTCTACTCACTGGAATCTCCTTACCCAATTCTGTCACCTAAATCATCTTCTACTCCCCATCCTGATTTCCCTAAAGAATGTGTAAATCCTCCTCCCTATGAAACTCCCCATAACAAACACAGCATTACAAATGACTTTCTTAACAACTCCTGTCTTACCTTAGTTTTCTCCATTATCCCCACTCTCTACAGGCCTCCTTTCCACATTCACCAATACTAGTACTCGAACACACCACAAAATGGAAATTTAAAAGACCCCCAGCAGGAGAATCTAAGGAAGGTTACTGGCCTCAGCAGGCAGAAGTCCAGCACTTTTATTTTAGCTTAGGCACTGACTTTACTTGGTAACTTTGGATAGTTACCTAGAAAGATTCTAGAACTAAATGTGAACTTCATTCTGTTTATTTAAACAACAAAAAAACAACAAGACCTGAGCTGCCTACTATGTGCCTGCTGTCCTGGACTCAGCCCTCTGGAGCTCACCATCTCATGAGACAAGAGCACAACTATGCACACTAAATACCTCTGCAGAGACAGGCTCATTAGAGATAATTCACGAATCCCTAGTTGACAGGATTTCCGCATCACAACAAACTACAGCTGGGAAGATACAAGAGCAACAAAAGTCCAAGAGCTTTAAAAGCATGAAAGGTTCAATATGCACTATCTTTCTGTGATGATGAAGCAAATTCTAATTTAGAAATCAGGAAAGGATTCATTTATTTATTTTAAAAGTCTATATTCAGGGATTATGCTAGGTGCTGGAAAAATGCAAAAAAAAAAAAAGACATAATTAAGTCCTTAGGAATTTCAGTCCAATAGGAGCCTAGGCAAGTAAACAACTAGAATATCACAGTAGCAAAGCTCCCCATCTGATGACTAGAACTATGGAAACAGGCACAGGGTGAACAGACAAATTTAAACACACACACACCAATAAATTGACTTTTGCCCAATACAAAAATCTTGAGAATAGAATTTGTGATGAAGCTCCCTGTTATAAACAGGCAGAAACAAGAAATTACTGTTCTCTTTCCCAAAGTGTAAAGCCTGATATATACAAAACAAAGTAGCTCAGCCTTAATAGAAAAAGCACTAACTTTCAAGACACAAATCTCTCCATAGCCAAGATAAAACCAAATGTTGAGATGTTACAAGTATTTCAAATAGCCTAAGGAAAAAAAATAATTTCATTAAAAAGTTAATTTCTCTCTCCCAGCTGTATAGATAAATGCTCATCATTATATATGCATAAAACTAGTCTAAACTACTTTCCAGAAAGACCAGTCATCACTGGTAAGTTAAAAATATCCCCTGGATCTTCTTTTTTTAAGGAGGAAAAAATATCTCTTTAATTTTATAAAAGCTTCAGGACATGCAGCTTTAAGAATTAAACCTTGTACTAATCAAATATAATGAATTCAGAGAAAATGCATTAGAGTCCATGCTCCTGTCCCCAAGGTAGGACCTCCTTCCATTTCATGAAAAGTCCCTAAAGACACAAAACATAGGGCCAGGGAGGAGCAAACCAAACAAATAAATTCTGTCAATAATTCCAAAATTCCAAATAATTCTATCTTTTCAAATCATCAGAAACAATTCTGAAACTTTAGAACTTTTCTCCTAATTGAAGAAATTTGATAAAAAATAATGCTAGGGGGTCTGGGGTTATGGCTCAGCAGTTGAGCACTCACCTAGCACGTGCGAGGCCCTGGGTTTGATCCTTAGCACCACATAAAAAATAAATAAAGGTATTGTGTCCAACTACAACTAAAAACTAAATAGTTTAAAAAGTAATAATAATGCTAGGGCTGGGTTGTGGCTCTGAGGTAGAACACTCACCTACCATGCATGAGGCACTGGATTCGATCCATAGCACCACATAAAAATAAATATTTTATCTACCTATAACTAAAAAATAAATTTAAATAATAATAACAACATCAACAACGATGATGTGGATTTTGGGTAACGACTTAGAAAATAATTAACATCTTTATGCTATGCCTCCTTAGTATTTATATTATTGATTTTACTATTCAAACACTTGAAAAGTCAGGAAAAAAAACAGCTTGCTATTTAATCATTATTCAAGTTTAGAAGCTAGATAAAAGATTACCAAACATTTACATTATCTGTTCCTGGAGCTCCCCTCTCTGAATTACTCCAACATGAAGAATTGAACATTGATGAACAATAATCATAGTAAGTGCATCATTCTATAACCGAGTGCCTCTCCTGGCTGATTATGCCTTTCACAGGTAATCTCATGGGTTTATTACAACCCAGATCTTATACATATTTGTACCAGCTGAGCAAATCCAAGCTACCAGTAACTATGTGAAATGTCCAAAGTACCGCCTCATTCCTGCAGCCATGTCCTAAGCCTGTCCCCTTAACAAATCCATTTCCAAGGTCCTATCAGCAGCTCAGATCAAATCTAGAACAAGAAGGGATGGCAGGGAGTTTCCACAAGAAAGAAGACAACAACAAGGATTTACAAAGTCTAAAATTAACTACTACCCCACCCTCCATCCACCCACACTTCATCCAAGGCTGATCCTCAGCCAGCACCTCTTCCTGGACCCTCCCAACCTGTTTTCTGCCACTACCACAGTATTTCTCTACTACCTTTTACCCCACATATCAGATAGCTGACACATCCTATCTGCTGTCTGTTCAAACATTCATGGCCTAATTCCCTGTGTAGCCAGGCTTCCGTGCAGACTACTTACCAACTCACAACTTTACAGCCAAAGCCTCCTCTCAATTCTTACTGGCCTTGACCTCCTAGCATCACGAGATGCCATAAACCACGCCCTTCATATAAAAGCTCTCCCCTCAGTCTCTATGGCAGTCCTCTGTCTCAGTGGTCTCTCCACCTCTCCAACCCTTCCTTCTCTACCTTATGGCCCCTAGCCATAGGTCTTCATCATGTCTCAGACTTTGATTTTTATTTCTTTCTCTATATTCTAGTCCAGGTTTCAATTCTTTTTATCATCAGCTTTGACTGCTTCCTAAACAACAGTAATGTGTTTCCACTTCCTATCAGATATTTCTTTTTAATTCAGTTACCAAGAGTCTGCTATATGCTATTCAGTGTGTTAAATGGTAATGACACAAAGATCAATGAGATCTACAAAGATCATCTCTGCCTTCAAGGATCAAGACAAGTAAACAAATATGTTTAAAATAATGTGATCAATGGGACAACTCCCACACAGATGTCGAGATGAGGAAGAACATATCAATACTACAACAATGGCTTTCTATATTGAGCTTTCTATACACACATTATTTTTGCACATTATTTGTACACTTTATTTCAATTAATTCTTGTAACAATAGTAGAAGATACAAAAGTAAAACTCTTCTATTACCAGATCATATAACTGGTAAATGACTTATTCAGGATTAGAAATAAAGTTTGTCTGGCCTCAAAAAAATCAATACCTTTTGTCTATGCCTAGTGAAAAGAAATCTAGATCTGATGAGTCAGGAGATGAATCCAGGCTAAGGATACCTGTTTAAGATCAATCAGTATTTCAAGCATGTCTAACACCATGGTCAAGGAAGAGATCACTCAGAGAAATGACTAACATTAGACAGAATTTACAGCTTAAATGTCCCAGAAACCCTCAAATGCAATAAATCAAAAACCAAGCTCAGCCTATATTTCATTAACTCTAAGGAATGTCTTTCAAATTTCAACAATTCTGAAATTAGGATATCATAGAGTGCCATAATTTAATTGGCAGTATTCTTTTCTTTCTTGGTGGTACATAAAATAATAATGCCTCAGAATTTCTGGCTTCTTCAATTTGAAAAAATATGTTAACTTTATCCTAAATTTGGTACCCAACTTTAAATCCCTTGAATCACTAAAATCTGATTTTTTCCATAATATCCCTCTTATACATCCATTATCTTCCATTTTTCTGACACCACCTGGTATAACACTGTTATCAATTGTGTACAGATTAAGATTAGGAAGACCTCACTGGTCTTCCTAAATTCAGTTACTCCCTATTCCAAATCATCAAGGATAGCACCACAGATCAATCTGCCCAGACCTCAACTGTGCACCTGCTGCTGTCCCTCTGCACTCCCCATGCATAACAAGGACATTCCAAGCAGTTTCAAAGACTTCCATGATTTGGCTTGAAATGACCTATACATAATTTATTATTAATCAACATAAGCCTTCTATTCTTTTTTATTATTTTTTAGTTATAGATAGATAATACTTTTATTTTATTTACTTATTTTTATGTGGTGCTGAGGATAGAACCCAGAGCCTCACATATGCTAGGCAAGTGTTCTACCACCCACTGAGCCACAACTCTAGCCCCATAAGCCTTCTATTCTAATCAGGCTCTTCTAGATGTGGCCCCTCAAATGCTCTAACCTCTATCTAATTAGCCTCACTGGTATTCCCACCTGAAATTCACCCAAAACTGATGCCATTCAAATCAAACTTGAGCTTCATAAGCTCCATGAAATCTCCCTCATTCTAAGCCACTCTCTGAAATGGCATAGCATGTACCCTCTTGGACACTGTATTTAAGTTTCCCTGCAAGTTATATCTTATATCACAATGAAATTAAAAGGATCAAAGGTAGAGACTGTTTTTTTACACTTATGCAGCATAATTTAGTGGTTACTTACACAGACTCTGAAGTCAAACTACATAGGTTTGATTCTTGGCTCCTTGTTTTTCTGTGTGACCTTGGGCAAGTTACTAATGTCTCTGTGCTTCCTCATTTGTAAAATTAGTTAAACATAAGAACTACCTCACAAAGAGCTATGAAATCTAAATGGTCAGGTTGGAAGGACCTGTTCTCACTGCACAGTAAGCATTTGATAAGTGTTAATTACTATTATTTTCACTAATAAAAAAATTTACCACATAAGTATTGAAAATGCCGTATCAATGTTAAATATCAGGGCTGTTATTTAGAATCTCCATGACTGTAATACCAAAATATATACACAGCATGTACTAAGTACTTCTCTGATGGTGGAAGTGAAGAAAAGTCTTAGGATGCAAAGCAGCTTTTCAGAAAAATGATTTCTAATATTCTGGGGAATAGATGAAATTTGTCCAGGAATAACTAGAAATATTCATGTGGGGGTCTAATAAATCTCAGGAAGAATTCATAGATAATAACAGGAAAGATATTCCATAGGAACTAGAGATGTTTAGCCCTACATATACCATTTATACCTGCACTATGGTTTTGTAGTGAGTAGCTACAAATGGCAAAAGATGCAAATAAAACTTCTGGTGAATTTAGGATAACCAGGTACTTACTGAGCATGCCTCTATAATTGAGGTCCATATCCCGGCTCTCCGACCGTACTTTAATAGCATCCAGAATGGCGTCCGGAGACAACAGTCCTGAAGGCCTCACAACATTGAGAAGTTCAGTGAGGCTCATCAAAGGTAAACGTACAGCCTGCATGATTTCCACATGATTCTCCTTTGAGTTGTGCTTACACCAGTTTAACAAGGCTAAGAAAATATCTTTTTCAGGAGCCGCAAATGAATCTCTTAACACAATGTTTAAAAGTGCTGTCTGAAAATGATAAAAAAGGAAAAATCCAGTTATGATAGAGACCAACCATGTGTACAATCAATCAGCCTAGGCTTTACAGAACTGCAGATATCACTTATATTTAGATAATTCCTTCTGACCTTCATCTTTCCTTATGCCACTTGCTTATTATGGCTGCCTTAATAATAAGAAAGGATGGTAGCACCTTTCCTTCCTGCCCAGGTACCTTGTACTACTAGATGGTCTCTCCAATACATCTGTACCTGTCTTTTTTAAAATAGCAGGAAAAAAAGTGACCAAGTGAAGAGCTCTCAAAACATAACAAGTTCTTTAGGAGAACATACACTTGTAAATCAATAAGATACATCTGGCATTTGAAAATTAAAATCTTTTAATCTTAGTATCACTGCACTACCATATTTTTGATTCTTGGATCTCCAAACTAATCTCTACCAACACTGGTGTAACCCTCAAACATCCCTGCCTTTAAAATTAAGTAAGATTATAAAAATCATAGTTTACACTCAAACCAAGATATGCAGCTTTTTGAAGGTTTTTTGTTTTTTTTTTTTTTCATTAGAGATATTTAAGTCCTAGGAGAGACAACCATTACCGAGGGTTCAGAGAAAGACTTGAGCAAAATAGTTTTACTCTACCTATGATAGTGAATTTTAAGCCAGCCAAAAAAAAAAAGCAGTGTTTTAAATACATCAATTTTCCCTCTTGCTAAAAAAATGATTAAGGGCTATGGTCATGGCTCAACTGTGGAGTGCTTGCCCAGCACATGTGAGGCCCTGGGTTCGATCCTCAGCATCACATAAAAATAAATAAAATAAAAGTATTGTGTCCAACTACAACTAAAATATAGACATATATATATATATATATATATATTTTTTTTTTTTTTTTTAAAGAATGATTAGTTGCACTCTCCATCAGAGAAATACAAAACCAAGAAGTAGTATGCAGTACCACAAAGGACCCTATTTGGCTGTCATCATCCTGAAAACAATCACCCAACAGCACAGTCTCTTTTGCACATAAAACTTGCCAGAAGACTCTTAAAAGAAAACAGAATCAATTATCTTCTCTTCTTCTCTGATCTACAGTCCCAGCAAGCAGAGGCAAGTGGCTAGACAGATATCATTGGTATCAAAAAGGTTCTATATTTTTTGTTTTTAGTTCATTATTGTATTGCCACTGTACCCATATAAATAAAACGATGCATGCCTACAAACTACTTGCAAACAACAACACACCTTGGAAAGGGAGAGGAAACCTTCACTTGAGAGCACCTCCTGAGCATTTCTGTCCATGAACATGCAGCACATACAAGTTAACTTGGGAAGTGAGTAGAGACTGGCGACATCAAAAGTCATACAGACATTCTGAATGTTAAGTATGGTGCAGAGATACTCAGAGGTAGAATCCTCCAGCTCTGGAAATCCATATTTATGAGCCAGGCTCAAAAAGTCCAGCAGCACCTCCTCCTTCTCATCTGTCAGTGTCGCCCGCCCAGTGTAGATGTATTTGAGTAGCATTGTGAATGCTTCTGCAGTGGTGTCTTGAAGAGGGATTTCTGCTTCAGGCTGAGACTCCCGCATTCCACCATACAGCAACGCTCTACACATCAGAGAAGAAACACAGGAAGAAAGCCTCAGTAAGATTTGCTACAAAATATGTGAAATAATAGTTATCAGTGTTATACAAACATACATTTGTTTAATGGCACAAAGATCCAGGTGAAAAAATGAAAAGTAATATTTTAAATGATTTGTTAAAGCAAGAAGAAGAAGAATTTAAAAACCATTTGAATTAATTTCATAAACAACTGAACTAATGAGTTATCCTGAGAGCTTAAGATTAAATAGGAAATTGGAAGTCATCCTTTAAGAAGAACAATGAAATCAATATAAAGATGCTAAAAATCAATAGGCAGTTTAAAAACTAAATCTCTATACGAAAAGATGTAACCAGATCAAATTAAAAACAACAATCAGATGTGATTCTCTCCTGTCAGACTGGTAGAAATTAGAAAGCTGGTTAATATCCAGAGCTTCGAAAGCAATAAGAAGGTTCTTTCCTGCACTGCTTTGAGAGTATATAAAAATGGGCCTCCATTTTCAGAAAGTAATTTAGTAATTGAAATCTGAAATGTGTATACCATTCAAGTCAGTAATCTCTCTCTCAAGACTCAACTATAGAGAAATAACACAGTAAAGGTAAATACAAAAGAATATATACTGAAACACTGGGGAAACCTCAATAGGAACATGGTTGAATATGGCTGAAAAATGATGACATAACATTCTATGCAGCCATTACAAAGACCAATGGAGACTGATAAGTACTGTCTTGGAAAGATCTATCTTGGTTCTCTCCCAAGATATAGCGGACAAGTAAGGAAGGTTCCATGCTTACTGTGAAAAGTTACTCTTGTATAGTTAGGTTGTCCTTACCTGGGAATTGATAGGCTTTTGTGACAGCGGTTAGGCCTCTCCTGACTGCTGATAGTTTGGTTTATTTTGCACAAGAATAGTTTTCAATGAGAATCTACCCAAGAAAGTCTTGGTAACAGCTCTGAGTTTAGCCAATGAGTCATCAAATATTACAAAGGTTCGATATTCAGAGAGACATTAAGAAAAAGTGAGGGAAGTACAGTGCATTCACTCAATATGACCTCCCAATTTCTAAAAAGTATTTGAGTTTAAGAATATACTGATAACCCCAAAGATACCCACAGTTAGTTCCAATTATTTTTGAATACTGTAAACTGCAAGGTATACATATTCAAAAATATTAAACATAAAGCTGAAAAATTCTGACTTAATGAAGAGTAGACCTTTTTCACTCCCCCCACTGGGGATTGAACCCAGAGACACTTAACCACTGAGCCACACCCCCAGACCTTTTTTTTATATTTTATTTAGAGACAGGGTCTCCCTAAGTTGCTCAGGTCCTTGCAAAATTGCTGAGGCTGGCTTTAAACTTGAGATCCTTCTGCCTCAGCCTCCCTAGCTGCTGGGATTATAGGTGTGTGCCATGATGCCCGGCAGGAGGAGACTCTTAAAAAACACTTTAATAGGGACTGGGGCTATAGCTCAGTGGTAGAGCGCTGGCCTAGCATGCATGAGGCACTGGTTTCGATCCTCAGCATCATATAAAAATAAACAAATATAGTAAAGGCATTCTGTCCATCTACAACTACAAAAAAATTTTTAAAAAAACACTTTAATAGTAGTAAGTGGACCAAAAGTAAGAAAACTTAAAGATACACAAAAGGAAAAATGTGCAGAGGTCAGAGGCTGGTAACAAATAATGACCTGGTCAAGGTCAGATGAGTTGGCTAAGGTATCAAGGAAACTGAAAAGGAGAATGTTAACAGGAATCTGTAACAAAACTCCTCCCATCTTTTCTAAGCTCCTGATTTCATCTATAGTAGTATTTTATTTGAACAAGATGGAAGTGTTGAAAATGTTCATAAGGGACTCTAGCAGTTCTAGCTAGAACACATATTTCCAAGAGACACACTTTATTACAACATGTGTGAATCTGGGTGTTGCTGTTTTGCCATCTTAGTTTGTCTTATGCAAAACAGTTAACCCTCAGCAGTTGGGAGAGGCCTAAGCACCTTCACAATCGCTGTCACAAGAGTCTGTCAATTCCCAGTAAAGGACAAGTTAACTGTATAAAAGGGAACTTTTCACAGTAAATATGGAACCTTCCTTACTCACCTCCTGTACCTCAGGAAAGAGTCAAGACAGATCTTATAAAAGCTAATGTGCCATTTTCGCTAGAAGGCAACTAAAATTTTAGAGGCATGGGCCTCTCTCCATTTTTAGATCAGCTTCTTAGGAAAAATCTATAATTCTATGGACCATTTGTTATTTGTAAATAAATAAGGTCCATTATCAGAGATACATTATCACTCAGTCAATACTTCAGAGACAATTCCCTTATAACTAATATAAGTAAAATGAAGGGTAATTAAGAGATCAGTATAATCTGAAAATAAAGGATCTAATAATAAACAATAGCTGTATTTATGTGGGATTTTTACATTAATTAAGTATATATTTTGTTTAGTCTTAGTTCTAATATAACTATGAAACTTAGTCTCCATCCCTATTTGTTTCTTTTAACTGAGTTTAAAAGTTTACTCATCTTACAGATCTCTCAAGTTACCTACAGGTCCTAGGCCTCAGCAGCCAGAATCCAAGAGGCATACATGTTCATTAGCAGGTTGGAAGCTGAGTATTACCTAAATTACAAGAAGTCTATCTGCCAATCAGTGATGTGAAAGGCATACAATCCAAAATTAAAGGAATTCTGTTAAAAAAAAAAAGTTCATTTACTCTTTTGAATATAAAATTGCAGAAATACAGACTACAATGAAATCATCTATATCCTTTTGTATTTTGCATGAATATTATTCAGGTTCACTAAATTATTTTATAATTCTATTAATTTGAAAATCAAATAAAAATTATATAAACACCTAACTCCTGCTGTGTGCAGGTCCCAGTAGAAAAGCTAAGGCCACTAGCATTGTTCTTATACACTATTGGTCACAAATGTTAAAGCAAAAATGCATGTACATATTTGAATACAATAAATGTCATCCCATGTAGTGGGGGAAAAAGACTCAGTCTAAGAAATATTCTTCAGATCTTAAAAAATAGTCAATGGGTACTGTCTGGCCTGGGAAGCCTTCAAACTCCTTAACTCTAAGATGGTTCCTAAAGGAAAAGGTGATTCTAAAAACTAATAATTTTAAAAAGTCTACCAAGATGAAATTCTTAGAGAGGCTGAATTAAAAGTTTGCTACAATTTGCTAGTTTGCTTAGGTGCATATTTTTCAGAGTAGAAAATACCAGTGTTTTCTACACACAACTTAAATTTTCAAAAAAAACATTACACACTTACCGAAAATATTGGCATCTGGCTGCTAAAATTACCCTGTGGGCAGGAAAACGTTTCTTTTCCACGACAAATGTGACATCACCATATTCTTCCCCAATCAACAAGGCACCGATGTGCTCAGACAAAATGTGCACATGATCAATTTCCCCCACTGCAGTAAAGGGGCGAAGAGGGTGGCTGTTACTCATCTTGTAGAACAGACGGTAGTCACTGATCTAGCACACAAAGAAGGGGTAAGAGTTAGCATGGAAGACAGTGCACTCAGAAAGCCACCTGATAACACAACTAAGCAAAAGTTCAAAGTGCTCAAAAAATTAACATGAGAGAGCACTCATCAATGGTTGCTTTATTAACTGATTTATTCTGAGAAATACTCAACCTACTTTCAGGCCTTGTCACAGTGGAAAAGCAAAATGCCAGGATCTTCAAACATTCAGGCAATTAAAACCATCACATTCTAGAAAACTGAGCCAAGTACAGGTCCCACATTCCTTATTGTACCCGCAGGAAAAAGAAAAAAAAAATCAACATTATTTTACATACATTTATTTGTATGGTTTAGCATAACTATACACAGATACACCCAGGCATAGATCTAGGCCTCAATTAACAAACAGAATAAATAAAATTATCAGATTTCACAGAAGATACTTTGGTGTAAAACCATCTTAAATACTCTCCAAAAAGTAATCTTCTGGAATCACAAAAATAACTTGACATTAATGAAAGTCTACAGTAGCATCCAAGCCCCTCCCAAAAAAGGAGAACTCCAGAATTTTTCTCAAGACTATAATTTCCGGGCTGGGGTTGTGGCTCAGTGGTAGAGCTCTTGCTTTGCAGATGTGAGGCCCTGGGTTCAATCCCCAGCACCACATAAAAGTAAATAAATAAAATAAAGGTATTGTGTCCATCTACAACTAAAAAAAATAAAAAATAAAGACTAATTTCCATCTCAATCTTGTAGCTCTGATGATTAGGTTACTAGTGTTTACCAGAACCTCACTACATTTTATTTCACTTATAGGCACTTCCTTGCTTTTATACGCAATGTCTTTCTACAAAGTAACTGAAAATCAAAGGTTATAGGTTGATGAATAGTTTTACATGTTAGAAAGGGGATTTATGATTTTAGAAAGCTAAAAATACTTATGTTTTAAGCCCCTAATGTATTTGCAGGTACTTCTCTTCCATTATTATATGGAGACTTTACTAGCATTCAGTGCCCCCGGTGGAGAGAAATCTGGTTGCCCAGAGGTGACTCAGCTACTCCTCTGTTGCACCAGACACTAGGGGAATTGAGCCGGATACGTTTTCCCCAGTGGCCATCTATACCTTCATGAACTCTCTACTTGGACCAGAATCAAGGCTTTAAAACTTCCATATCCAGATCCATTATTTGCAAGGTAAAAACAGCCTTTCTGTCCTACAACTACAATGAAGAGCTTCACAGACCAAGTTCTTGAAGCTACCTACTATCACAAGCCTGCCCCCAACAAAGGAATCAACAGCAAGGACTGTGATGCAGGAGAACAGGGAAGGACCAGCTAGCAAAGAGACATCCACTCAGGTAAGTGAGAGAGCTCCTGGTCTCCTTATAATAGGTAGGAGCGTCAGAGGACTAGCAGCATCCTCCTGTTATTGCCAGGACAAATCCCTCTCCTTCCAGTGCAGCCTCAAAACTGAAATGTCTCTAAGTCACTTGTGTATGAAGGACCAAATTCAGCTTCAAAGACTCTGTTTAGGAGCATAGCAGGTAATGTGTGCTACCGTAGTCTAATGTGTAAGACAACGGCCCAATAAGAAGGAGGGCAAACTTTCTGCAAAGGATCAGATAGAAAGTATTTTAGGTTTTGTTCACTGTAGCCTTTGTCACAACCATACGACTCTGCCACGGGAGCCTAAATGCAGCCATAGACAACAAATAGCCTCACAGAACAAGGCTGTTTCAGTAAAACTATTTATTAGAAAAAAAAGAACTGGAGAGCTGGGGTCATAGCTCAGTGATAAAGTGCTCGCCCCACTTGTGGAAGGCACTGGGTTCGATCATCAGCACCACATAAAAATAAAATAAAGGTATTGTGTCCACCTACAACTAAAATTAAAAAAAAAAAAAAAAAAACAACTTGAGCTGGGCACTGCGGCACACACGTAATCCCAGTGGTTTAGGAGGCTAAGGCAGGAGGATCGAGAGTTCAAAGCCAGCCTCAGCAACTTGTGAGGCCCTAAGCAACTCAGTGAGACCCTGTCTCTAAATAAAATACAAAAAAGGGCTGAGGATGTGGCTCAGTGGTTGAGTGCCCCTGGGTTCAATCCCCAATACCAAAAAAAAAAAAAAAAAAAAAAAGACCTGGATTTGGTCAACAGGCCATTTTGCCAATCCCTCCCTCCCTAATGTGTGATCAAGAACTGACTATGCTCTAGACAAAGGCTCAGATGAGGTTTTTTTCATTTTTTCTGCTGGGTTACCCAACTGATGTTCAAAATAACATGTTCATTTCTTATGTTAGCTAGGAAATTCTGAAAGCTACTAGAAACTCACTCCAGAATCTTATTCTTGTTACCAGGACTGCTCACATTACTATCCATTATTCCGATGAAGGTACAAACACGGTCTGGGTGAAAGGATGCAATGCATAGTCCTAGTGAACACACTCTGGTATGAATCTCTTAACATTTTGTCTAGGTCATGGCCAAGACTCAAATTATTGACAGAATAACTCTTGCCAAACAATGATTGATTTTTGGTTAACTAGCTCAAAAGGGAAATTTACAATTCTTCAACTGATATATCATAAACATTAATAGTACATATGTAAATATCTTAATAGGTTTCTCCAGCTCTTTACTTCTCAATACATATAATTTCATTTGCTAAATTTACATTTTAATTATGTTTTTTCAAGTGGAGACATAAAGAGAATATTGCTGGGTATGGAAAATAGCCACTTAGTGTGGAATAAACAGAATTTTTATTAGCAAATAGAAATAATTTTAATTAGACCAGTGATTCTCAGTGAGTTGCCACACATAGCAACTATATGGGGAACTTAAAAAGAGGGGAGGGGAAATGCTCGAGTCCCATCCCTGAGAGATTCTTATTGAATGAGTCTGGAATGGAGCCCAGGCATTGGAATCATCACTCTGAAGTGATTCTAATGAGCAGGCTGGAGAAGAGCCACTGATTTAAATAGTTGTTGTAGGTACACACTATGGTTTGGATGTTGTTTTTCCCCAGGGGCCCATGTGTTGGAGGGTTGGTCCTGAGGATGATGGTGGTGGGAGTGATATGTAACCTTTAAGAGGTGGGGCCTAGTGGGAAGTCCTTGGGTCACTGAGGGCATTGCCCTGGGACAGGACTAAAGTAGTTCTGAAGAGACCAATAGACAGTTCTCTCTAGAGGACTGCTATAAAAAGAACAAGCCTGGAATCACCTAGCAGCTCTCTGGCTTCCCTGTTTCAAGATGTGATTTCTTTTGTCAACATGCATTCTCAACAACGTTGGCATGAGGTCCTCAGCCAAAGCCAGTTCTATACCCTTGAACCTCTAAAACTGTGAGCTAAACAAACCTCTCTCCTTTATAGTGAGCCTGCTTCAGATACTTAATTATAGTAATGCAAAGGTGGCTATTATAGTTTACATCCCTTAGACCACAAGTTCACAAAATATCCACCGAGAAATTCATTTAGGATATAATTCTATTATGAATATTATTTACAAAGGTAAATGATGTATTGTATTATTTACAAAGGGGTAAATGATGCTAACAAAGTTATCAATTCGTGGCTTAAATGGAAAAAGTTGGGCTAGCTTATTTACAACCTGGTAGTTGGGGTCTACCTGCTTTTACACATGAACTTTCTTAAATGCATATTTTTTGAAACCACACATGAATAAAGTTAATTTTTAAGCCACAAATTGTTTTGATAAGCATTCGAATTGGAAAAAATATTTTTTCAACTTTTTAAAATTTTTTTATGTTTATTTAATTTTACTCTTATGTGGTGCTAAGGATTAAACCTAGTGCCTCACGTGTGTGAGGCAAGCACTCTACCACTGAGCTACAGCCCCAGCCCCTGGAAAAATATTTTTAAAGTCTAAAAAGTGAAACTGTATTGACTTACTTCTTCAGTTTTATAAGTTATTCTGCCATTACTTATACATGTGACCTTTGACAAACATTTTAACTTCTATGAGACTATTTTCACACCTGTAATGGCATAGATTTAGAAGATAGTTTTTTAAGTTACATTTTATAACTCTGCCACATTGCCTTTTAATTTGTTTTAGCTTGGATATAAAATCAGGATAATTAAGCTATAAAACCAGAATATAACATGAGAATCAAAATTTACGTGGAGGAATGGAAATTTCGAAAAGTTCATACAAATACATTATTATTGGGATAGATAGTCCCCAAAATGGCTACTTTCAATTCTCTTCCCTTCCCTATACAAACATACCATCTGCCTACTGAGAAGTGGATTCCATTTCCATTCTCCCTGAATCTTGGATGGTCCTGGGATCACAGAAGTGAGGTTCCAGGACTGTGCCTTGAAAAGTTGGGCAGCTTCTGCTTTTGCCCATTGAGAATCCTGAGTTACCTTGATCATGTGGAGAAGTCAGATGGAAAATGAGAGGCCTTGATACTGCCCAAGGAAGAACGAAAGAACCCTGGGTGAAATGAAAACCAAGTCCCCAGACATATGATCCCAGTCAAGTCATTACAACCTGCTCACTGTCATCAGAGCCCCTCTAGTCAAGGGCATAGATACGTGAGGATGTTCTACCTTCAGCAGACATCATGTGGTACAGACACACACCAACCCAGCTGGGCCCTATTCAAATTCCTGATCCACAAAACTGTATTAAATATAAAATCATTATCCACTTAAACCATTAATTTTAGAAAGCTTTAAATTACGTAGCAATAGTTAAAGAATTATTATGTGAAAAGTATTTCATTTACTTTATGAATACTGCAATTGTAGAAATTTCAAAATTGGTACACAAGAAGCTTAAGAGTCAGCTTTATCACCTATATAGAGGGAAGAAAACAAAACAAAACTCCAAGGTACATCATCAAAGAATAATTTGTAACTGAAATTAGTTTTTTGTGTTCATTCATTTTAAATATTTATTGAGAGAAGAAACCTGAGAGACCATTAAGAAAGACACATGCTTTACAGAGAGGTAGATAATGCCATTGGGACTGGC